CCCGCCAGTCTTGATTCCAGCCTGTGCTTCGTCCAGCCCAGCGTTTCTCATGATGTGCTCTGCTTATAAATTAAATAAGCAGGGTGACAATATACAGCCTTGACATACCCGTTTCCTATTTGGAACCAATCGGTTGTTTCATGTCCAGTTCCAATTGTTACTTCATGACCTGAATATAGGTTTCTCAAGAGTCAGGTCAGGTGGTTTGGTATTTACATCTCTTTCAGAATTTTCCACAGTTTATTGTGATCTACACAGTGAATGGCTTTGGCATAGTCAATAAAGCAGAAATAGATGTTTTTCTGGAACTCTCTTGCTGTTTCAATGATCCAGTGGATGTTGGCAATTTGATTTCTGGTTCCTCTGCCTTTTCTAAAACCAGCTTGAGCATCTGTAAGTTCATGGTTCACGTAGTAGTGAAGCCTGGCTTGGAGACTTTTGAGCATTACTTCACTAGCGTGTGATGTGAGTGCAATTGTGCGGTAGTGTGAGCATTCTTTGGCATTGCCTTTCTTTGGGTTGTTCTATTACTTCCTACCAGAAAAATAAAAGAGAGAAGAAAGCTTGTATTTCTTTTCTGACATTCAAATCACCAAAGCGGAAACTGATGTGAGTATGTGAATGGATAGGAGACATCTGTGGCCAACTGGATGTGGTGAATGCAGTGAGTCTGCAGTTCATAGACGTTGCTTCTCCCTCAAGCCCACACCCCTTTCCTTCTCAGCCTGTCTCCCTCAATAGCTTTCACATCATCTTTCTTGTTTTCCCTCCATATCATGCTCTTTCATTTCAAAGGACATTAGAAATAAAGAAAAATATAGCATGTGCCCTCAAAATATAAGTCTGTGCTCAACAAAACTGAGGTACTTGAAAACAACTTGAGTCTAGATTCACCAGGGACACTTTAACTCACTTAACTGACACTTACAAAGCACCTTATGTCCCAGTTTAGACAGTGAACTTCATTACTGAAGTAGATCACACAACCCATGTCCTTTTGGAGAACATACTGCAGACAGACATTAACCAAATTATTTTAGGAATAGTAACCTTAATTTTTCTATGTTTGAATAGAACCAGGATAACCTAACATGGGAGACCTTGAGTCCATGTGGGCAACAACCTCTCCAGGCTCAGTTCCAGTGAGACGTGGGCCCTGAGAAGGGACTTCCTGGTGGTTAGGTGGTTAAGACTCCGTGCTTCTACTGCAGGAGGTGTGGGTTCCATTCCTGGTCAGGGAACTGAGATCCCACAAACCATGCACCATGGCCAAAATAAATAAGGGAACATGAAGACATAAAAATTCATGTCAGTGTATGTCAAAACCACTACAATATTAGAATAATTAGCCTCTAGTTAATAAAAATAAATGGCAAAAAAAAGAAAGCTGGGAAAAAAATGTAAAAGGTTGAAAAATCAATGTGAAAAAGTTTTCACAAAGTGTGTAGATGGACAAGTAGGAGATCTCACACTTTCTGATAAAACAGGGACTAACTCTCCAGACCCTACCAGCCTTGCTTAGCTTCTGTTCTCCATCTTAGAACTCAGAAGAAAAGAGACCGGAGTGAAGAGGCACAGTCTACGAGAAAGAAAAGGCCAAGTGTGCCAAGAGGTCATCGAGCCCCAGGAAGATGACTGCCTCTGTGAGTGACCCTGCTGGCCCACTCACGGAGAAGGGGCTATGAGGCCTCGGTCCGATAACCTCACCTCACCATCTGGTCCCCCAATCGTCCCCTTGCTCTATGACTTTGGTACCGGGTCGAGGCCAGATGCCGTGAGTGCCCCATTTCTTTCTGAAGGTCTTCACGACCGGCAACATCACTATACCTCCCTTCGTCCCTGTTGCTCTCGCCTCCAGATTGTGAGGAGTGTCAGGACTTCTTCATCGGCAGCTGTGCTGCCCATGTTGCTCCACCCTTCGTAAAGGACTCCGCAGTGGAAAAGGGGCATGCGAACCACTCAGCCCTCACTCTGCCCTCTGGGTTCCGTATCAGACTCTCGGGCATCCCTGAGGCTGGGCTTGGAATATGGAAGGAGGCTTCCGATCTTCCTCTGGGCCTGCACTTTGGCCCCTGTGAGAGCCAGATCACAGACAATGAAGAGGCCGCCAACAGTGGATACTCCTTGGCTTCTGAGGAATCAACCTCTTTCCCTGTCCTCTGGCCTCAAATCGCTTGTGTGTGGTGGAGAGTTACTCCACGTCTACATGCAAGGATGCACATGGTGGTGACATGGTCGGCAGTGACACAGGCGGCCCTGTGTACTGTGTGCCCTGGGCATGAACACAGGACTTGTAAAGATCAGAGGAAGGTGGGAGACAGTGGTACAGGCACACAGGACTTCTATCTAAAGATCAGAGGAGATGTGGGAGACAGTGGTACAGGCATACAGAAGTGACTTCTCACTTGTGGAGCCCTTGCCTTCAATGTACCAATAGACTCAGACTTGGAATGAGGATGAAGGAGCTTACCATGTGGTCCCACTGGCAGGTGAATCCATGCAGGCTGAAGAACACCAGTGAAAGCAGAGGGAAATAGTTCTTCAGTCCAGTTCAGTTCAGTTCAATCGCTCAGTCGTGTCCGACTCTTTGCGAGCCCATGAATCGCAGCACGCCAGGCCTCCCTGTCCGTCACCAACTCCTGGAGTTTACCCGGACTCGACACCATCGAGTCGGTGATGCCGTCCAGCCGTCTCATCCTTTGTCATCCCCTTCTCCTCCTGCACCCAATCCCTCCCAACATCAGGGTCTTTTCCAGTGAGTCAACTCTTCGCATGAGGTGGCCAAAGTATTGGAGTTTCAGCTTCAGCATCAGTCCTTCCAGTGAACACCCAGGACTGATCTCCTTTAGGATGGACTGGTTGGATCTCCTTGCGGTCCAAGGGACTCTCAAGAGTCTCCTCCAACACCACAGTTCAGAAGTATCAGTTCTCCGTCTGTCAGCTTTCCTCATAGTCCCAGCTCTCAGACATCCATACATGACCACTGGAAAAACCATAGCCTTGACTAGATGGACGGTTGGCAAAGTAATGTCTCTGCTTTTGAATGTGCTATCTCGGTTGGTGATAACTTTCCTTTCCAAGGAGTAAGCGTCTTTTAATTTCATGGCTGCAGTCACCATCTGCAGTGATTTTGAAGCCCCCCAAAATGAAGTCTGACACTGCTTCCACTGTTTCCCCATCTATTTGCCATGAAGTGATGGGACCAGATGCCATGATCTTCGTCTTCTGAATGGTGAGCTTTAAGCCAACTTTTTCCCTCTCCTCTTTCACTTTCATCACGAGGCTTTTTCGTTTCTCTTCACTTTCTGCCAGAAGGGTGGTGTTATCTGCATATCTGAGGTTCTTGATATTTCTCCCGCCAGTCTTGATTCCAGCCTGTGCTTCGTCCAGCCCAGCGTTTCTCATGATGTGCTCTGCTTATAAATTAAATAAGCAGGGTGACAATATACAGCCTTGACATACCCGTTTCCTATTTGGAACCAATCGGTTGTTTCATGTCCAGTTCCAATTGTTACTTCATGACCTGAATATAGGTTTCTCAAGAGTCAGGTCAGGTGGTTTGGTATTTACATCTCTTTCAGAATTTTCCACAGTTTATTGTGATCTACACAGTGAATGGCTTTGGCATAGTCAATAAAGCAGAAATAGATGTTTTTCTGGAACTCTCTTGCTGTTTCAATGATCCAGTGGATGTTGGCAATTTGATTTCTGGTTCCTCTGCCTTTTCTAAAACCAGCTTGAGCATCTGTAAGTTCATGGTTCACGTAGTAGTGAAGCCTGGCTTGGAGACTTTTGAGCATTACTTCACTAGCGTGTGATGTGAGTGCAATTGTGCGGTAGTGTGAGCATTCTTTGGCATTGCCTTTCTTTGGGTTGTTCTATTACTTCCTACCAGAAAAATAAAAGAGAGAAGAAAGCTTGTATTTCTTTTCTGACATTCAAATCACCAAAGCGGAAACTGATGTGAGTATGTGAATGGATAGGAGACATCTGTGGCCAACTGGATGTGGTGAATGCAGTGAGTCTGCAGTTCATAGACGTTGCTTCTCCCTCAAGCCCACACCCCTTTCCTTCTCAGCCTGTCTCCCTCAATAGCTTTCACATCATCTTTCTTGTTTTCCCTCCATATCATGCTCTTTCATTTCAAAGGACATTAGAAATAAAGAAAAATATAGCATGTGCCCTCAAAATATAAGTCTGTGCTCAACAAAACTGAGGTACTTGAAAACAACTTGAGTCTAGATTCACCAGGGACACTTTAACTCACTTAACTGACACTTACAAAGCACCTTATGTCCCAGTTTAGACAGTGAACTTCATTACTGAAGTAGATCACACAACCCATGTCCTTTTGGAGAACATACTGCAGACAGACATTAACCAAATTATTTTAGGAATAGTAACCTTAATTTTTCTATGTTTGAATAGAACCAGGATAACCTAACATGGGAGACCTTGAGTCCATGTGGGCAACAACCTCTCCAGGCTCAGTTCCAGTGAGACGTGGGCCCTGAGGCCTGGCAAGGAATGGGGGGCAGGATGGCCGTGAGCGTGGCCATTCTCTGAGGGCCTCTCCTTTCATCAGGGCATGCAGAAGTGAATAAACTATTCCCATTGTATGTCTCAATCTATGTCAGAACACTCTCCAAGTTTCTGTCGGAGGGAGTGGTCAAGTGAATAGGACCCTGGATACACGTGGGGAGATTGGAGAAAAACCTTAGGAGAGAAGGCAAGCTGGGGTGAGTGCTGAGGGGTGTGTGCTAGTCCTGTGGAATGAAAGAGAACTTAACTTAGAGTTTAGAGGATCTGGAGGTCACCAGTGTTATGGACAGCCCAGGTGGAGACAAGTGTGGAGCTGGGCTCTGGAAAATGGCTAGTTAGGTAAGGAGAGAAAAGCATTCCAGCCAGGAAGAGGACCAGAAACAGGATCTAGAAATAGGAATTCACACAGCATGATCGAAGGTGTGAACAAAAAGTCCCCATGAGTGGCTGTGGGAGTCATGACGGCCTCAGAGCCTGAAGGCAAGGAACTGGGCATGGTCCAACAGAAGAGGGGACTCGTCACCTGTGGTTTCTTTCTCTTTCCGGGCCTAGACCCCAGGTATGTGAACTGTGCCTGGGACAAGGAGGAGCAGAACCTGGTGGCCTTGCAGTATCATGGGCAAATCTTCTACCAAACCTGCCAGGTGGTCAGGCTGGGCTATGAGCTGCTGGTCTGGTACAGGGATGAGTATGGCCAGGAACTCGGCATCAAATGTGACAGCAGGGGGAAGAGTAAGCTCGCAACCAGGAGAGGTGAGCGCCACCCCTCTTCCAGCACCCCACCCCATCCTAGGGAGCCTCCCTGGTCCAAGCCAAGTCGTAATTAAAATGCCTCAGAATTTTATTCATTTCATATGACTGTTAGGAAAAACTTTTATATTAAAAATGTTCTGATTTTCAATATTTCATGCAAAAAAATATGTAACATCACCTTCTGCTGAAAGGCTTGGCAGCAAAAACAAGTTTTTTAGCACCTACCAGCTCTCTCCCCTTTACCCGTTTCTTCCTCATTTCCCCCACATTTCTTAGTGACATGCATGCAGTGATTTACATTCAGTTACTGTTTCAGCCTGTTGTCATGTGAGTTCATACTCTGTGCCAGACTGGGCTCCACGCCCTGAAACAGACAGAACCACTGCCTTGGGGCAGCATGGGCTTCATACCAGACAGGGGCTGGTGCTCTGAGGAAAACCAGTGCAGGAAAAGTGCCTCGGATCAGCATGAGCAGAGGGTGGGGTGTGGCGGAGGATGGTGGGGCAGGGTCTTTGCAGAGACAACACCTGTGGGAAAGGATTCCAGGCAGGGGAGCAGCTAGTGGTATGGCCCCAGAGCTGGCAGGAGAGGCCATGCCAGTGGTCACAGGAGGAAGCACAGAGGGAGAGGAAGGAGGCTGGATGGAACACTGAAACCTCAGGGCTCGTGTCCATGTGCAGGCCCCAGGGGTCTTCGTAGGTGACACAGAACAACCATGAGGCTTGCAGCTGCAAGCGGCATGTTCTCTGTGCTAAGACGATGCTTAGGTTCATTTTTGAGAAGAGACAACAGTGGGGAGTCCCCTCAGAGGTCAGTTCATTGCCAGACATGAGGGTAGAGTGGGCTGGCTCAAGATGCATGGGAGTGAGGGTGTGAAGAGTCTGGCTGGAGACTTATTTTTATTTATTTATTTTTTTCATTTATTTTTATTAGTTGGAGGCTAATTACTTTACAATATTGTAGTAGTTTTTGCCATACATTGACATGAATCAGCCGTGGATTTACATGTGTTCCCCATCCCAGTCCTCCCTCCCACTTCCCTCCCTATCCCATCCCTCTGGGTCTTCCCAGTGCACCAGCCCTGAGCACTTGTCTCATGCATCCAACCTGGGCTGGCGATCTGTTTCACACTTGATAGTATACTTGTTTCAATGCTATTCTCTCAGAACATCCCACCCTCGCCTTCTCCCACGGAGTCCAAAAGTCTGTTCTATACATCTGTGTCTCTTTTTCTGTTTTGCATATAGGGTTATTGTTACCATCTTTTTAAATTCCATATGTATGTGTTATTATACTGTATTGGTGTTTATCTTTCTGGCTTACTTCACTCAGTATAATGGGCTTCAGTTTCATCCACCTCATTAGAATTGATTCAAATATATTCTTTTTAATGGCTGAGTAATATTCCATGGTGTATATGTACCACAGCTTCCTTACCCATTCGTCTGCTGATGGGCATCTAGGTTGCTTCCATGTCCTGGCTATTATAAACAGTGCTGCGATGAACATTGGGGTGCACGTGTCTCTTTCAGATCTGGTTTCCTCGGTGTGTATGCCCAGGAGTGGGATTGCTGGGTCATATGGCAGTTCTATTTCCAGTTTTTTAAGGAATCTCTACACTGTTTTCCATAGTGGCTGTACTAATTTGCATTCCCACCAACAGGGTAAGAGGGTTCCCTTTTCTCCACACCCTCTCCAGCATTTATTGCTTGTAGGCTTTTGGATAGCAGCCATCCTGACTGGTGTGTAATGGCATCTCATTGTGGTTTTGATCTGCATTTCTCTGATAATGAGTGATGTTGAGCATCGTTTCATGTGTTTTTTTGCCATCTGTATGTCTTCTTTGGAGAAATGTCTGTTTAGTTCTTTGGCCTATTTTTTTATTGGGTCATTTATTTTTCTGGACTTGAGCTGCAGGGGTTGCTTGTATATATATATATTTTTTTCATTTATTTTTATTAGTTGGAGGCTAATTACTTTACATCATTGTAGTGGTTTTTGTCATACATTGAAATGAATTAGCCATGGATTTACATGTATTCCCCATCCCGGTCCCCCCTCCCACCTCCCTCTCCACCCAATCCCTCTGGGTCTTCCCAGTGCACCAGGCCCGAGCACTTGTCTCATGCACCCAACCTGGGCTGGTGATCTGTTTCACCCTAGATAATATACGTGTTTCGATGCTGTTCTCTTCAAACATCCCACCCTCGCCTTCTCCCAGAGTCCACAAGTCTGTTCTATACATCTGAGTCTCTTTTTCTGTTTTGCACATAGGGTTATCGTTACCATCTTTCTAAATTCCATATATATGTGTTAGTATACTGTAATGGTCTTTATCTTTCTGGCTTACTTCGCTCTGTATAATGGGCTCCCGTTTCATCCATCTCATTAGAACTGATTCAAATGAATTCTTTTTAATGGCTGAGTAATATTCCATGGTGTATATGTACCACAGCTTCCTCATCCATTCGTCTGCTGATGGGCATCTAGGTTGCTTCCATGTCCTGGCTATTATAAACAGTGCTGCAATGAACATTGGGTTACACGTGTCTCTTTCAGATCTGGTTTCCTCGGTGTGTATGCCCAGAAGTGGGATTGCTGGGTCATATGGCAGTTCTATTTCCAGCTTTTTAAGAAATCTCCACACTGTTTTCCATAGTGGCTGTACTAATTTGCATTCCCACCAACAGTGTAAGAGGGTTCCCTTTTCTCCACACCCTCTCCAGCATTTATTGCTTGTAGACTTTTGGATAGCAGCCATCCTGACTGGCGTGTAATGGTACCTCATTGTGGTTTTGATTTGCATTTCTCTGATAATGAGTGATGTTGAGCATCTTTTCATGTGTTTGTTAGCCATCTGTATGTCTTCCTTGGAGAAATGTCTGTTTAGTTCTTTGGCCCATTTTTTGATTGGGTCATTTATTTTTCTGGAGTTGAGCTGGAGGAGTTGCTTGTATATTTTTGAGATTAATCCTTTGTCTGTTGCTTCGTTTGCTATTTTCTCCCAATCTGAGGGCTGTCTTTTCACCTTGCTTATAGTTTCCTTTGTTGTGCAAAAGCTTTTAAGTTTCATTAGGTCCCATTTGTTTATTTTTGCTTTTATTTCTAAAATTCTGGGATGTGGGTCATAGAGGATCCTGCTGTGATTTATGTCAGAGAGTGTTTTGCCTATGTTCTCTAGGAGTTTTATAGTTTCTGGTCTTACATTTAGATCTTTAATCCATTTTGAGTTTATTTTTGTGTATGGTGTTAGAAAGTGTTCTAGTTTCATTCTTTTACAGGTGGTTGACCAGTTTTCCCAGCACCACTTGTTAAAGAGGTTGTCTTTTTTCCATTGTATATCCTTGCCTCCTTTGTCAAAGATAAGGTGACCATAGGTTGGTGGATTTATCTCTGGGCTTTCTATTCTGTTCCATTGATCTATATTTCTGTCTTTGTGCCAGTACCATACTGTCTTGATGACTGTGGCTTTGTAGTATAGTCTGAAGTCAGGCAGATTGATTCCTCCAGTTCCATTCTTCTTTCTCAGGATTACTTTGGCTATTCGAGGTTTTTTGTATTTCCATACAAATTGTGAAATTATTCGTTCTAGTTCTGTGAAAAATACCGTTGGTAGTTTGATAGGGATTGCATTGAATCTATAGATTGCTTTGGGTAGTATAGCCATTTTGACAATATTGATTCTTCCAATCCATGAACACGGTATATTTCTCCATCTGTTTGCGTCCTCTTTGATTTCTTTCATCAGTGTTTTATAGTTTTCTATGTATAGGTCTTTTGTTTCTTTAGGTAGATATACTCCTAAGTATGTTATTCTTTTTGTTGCAATGGTGAATGGTATTGTTTCCTTAATTTCTCTTTCTATTTTCTCATTGTTAGTGTATAGGAATGCAAGAGATTTCTGTGTGTTAATTTTATATCCTGCAACTTTACTGTATTCGTTGATTAGCTCTAGTAATTTTCTGGTAGAGTCTTTAGGATTTTCCATGTAGAGGATCATGTCATCTGCAAACAGCGAGAGTTTCACTTCTTCTTTTCCTATCTGGATTCCTTTTACTTCTTTTTCTGCTCTTGATTGCTGTGGCCAAAACTTCCAAAACTATGTTGAATAGTAGTGGTGAGAGTGGGCACCCTTGTCTTGTTCCTGATTTCAGGGGAAATGCTTTCAATTTTTCACCATTGAGGGTGATGCTTGCTGTGGGTTTGTCATATATAGCTTTTATTATGTTGAGGTATGTTCCTTCTATTCCTGCTTTCTGGAGAGTTTTAATCATAAATGGATGTTGAATTTTGTCAAAGGCTTTTTCTGCATCTATTGAGATAATCATATGGTTTTTATCTTTCAATTTGTTAATGTGGTGTATTACATTGATTGATTTGCAGATATTAAAGAATCCTTGCATTCCTGAGATAAAGCCCACTTGGTCATGATGTATGATTTTTTTAATATGTTGTTGGATTCTGTTTGCTAGAATTTTGTTAAGGATTTTTGCATCTATGTTCATCAGTGATATTGGCCTGTAGTTTTCTTTTTTTGTGGCATCTTTGTCTGGTTTAGGAATTAGGGTGATGGTGGCCTCATAGAATGAATTTGGAAGTTTACCTTCTTCTGCAATTTTCTGGAAGAGTTTGAGTAAGATAGGTGTTAGCTCTTCTCTAAATTTTTGGTAGAATTCAGCTGTGAAGCCATCTGGTCCTGTGCTTTTGTTTGCTGGAAGATTTCTGATTACAGTTTCGATTTCCTTGCTTGTGATGGTTTTGTTAAGATCTTCTATTTCTTCCTGGTTCAGTTTTGGAAAGTTATACTTCTCTAAGAACTTGTCCATTTCTTCCAAGTTGTCCATTTTATTGGCATAGAGCTGCTGGTAGTAGTCTCTTATGATCCTTTGTATTTCGGTGTTGTCTGTTGTGATGTCTCCATTTTCGTTTCTAATTTTGTTAATTTGGTTCTTCTCCCTTTGTTTCTTAATGAGTCTTGCTAATGGTTTGTCAATTTTGTTTATTTTTTCAAAAAACCAGCTTTTAGCTTTGTTAATTTTTGCTATGATCTCTTTAGTTTCTTTTGCATTTATTT